CGCGCCGCCGAGCTCCTCACCCCCGAGCACGGCTCCCTCGAGCCCAGCAAGGCCGCCGAGAAGGCCCTCACCGCGCGCAAGGGCGCCACCAAGTTCATCGACGAGGTCGGCGTGGGTGGCGGGGAGGCCGAGCAGGTCGAGTTCGTCCTGCAGCTGCAGAAGGCGCTCCAGTACGTCAAGGGAGTCGAGACCCCTAGGGCGGGAATCCTCCTCGCGGCCCTGCTGCAGCAGCTCTACGCTCTGGACATCCTCGAAGAGGAGGGCATCCTGGGATGGTGGAAAGACGCACGTGCGGTTGAGAATGAGACGTTGACGACGCTCAAGGAGAAGAGCAAAGTGTTGGTGGAGTGGCTTGAAAATGCCGAGGAGGAGGATGACGACGAAGAGGAAAGTGACGACGAGTAGAGTTTACTCTCACCATATCGATGACAAATAGAATGAATGAAAAGAAACGATGCAAAGTACGATTGTGCTCATGTTTTATTTTCTCTTCTCCGTATCGTGGTATCATTTGAAACCCTTGACTTCTGTTCCTAGACGCCTAACTATCTCATAGTGGTATTTTGACCTGTCCTAACTGACCCTAAACAGTGAAAACGCTTCGCATGTAAGTGAAATAGACAACAAAAACAAACTCGCAGATGTCTACTACCTCGACATCTAAACTTGGTGTTCGAACGACATAAAAAATGTCGCAAATTTCCATTCTCAGTACCTCTTTGAAGAGTGCCAATCGCAAATCGTGGAGAGTAGAATACCAAACCCTGGAATCAGAACGAGTGGTAATAACCCGGAGGTTAGTAATAGTTTTGCAGGTCTTGCCCACCTCCTGCTTGCTTCCCTAGGGGCCGCTGATTCGCCTGTCCTTGCCAGCCATTCTGCCCATTAGGCTGCCTGGGGGGGAGAGATGGAAATGAATCGTCGTAGTCTACCTGAGGGGCTTGGCCCCCTTGTTGAGCCTTGGGTTCAACATCATCAAGAGACCGGTAATTGTAAAATCCGCCACGACCGCGCCCTCTTCCTCCGCGATGGCTCTTATTACCGCGATTCTGGCCTCCGCGGCCGCGACCGCCTCGTGCACTTGTGTGATAACCTCTAGTATCATTGCGGCCACCGTGGCTCCCAGATGTGTTGCGTCCAGCCCATTCATCATCGCCGGTGTGTTTTCGCTTTGAGGATTTATTCGCAAAGAGGCTTTCGTACTCATCTTCCTTGGGGTCGTCAGGTTCTATGCGTAGTATGACCTTCTCTCCAATAACAGTCTCGAATATGAAAGTTCTATCCTGGGGAATGGGTTGCCAGTTGTCAATTCGCCCAGCGTCAATCGGACGCGTACCCTTCTTCAGAGCCAACACAACCAAAGGAACTGGGTTGTCAGTATGGTATTTGGCAGTAAGCGGCACAGGTCGTAGCCTAGCGGCCCAGATGCTGTTGTCGAAATGGCCCGTGTCCGTGACCTCCCACTTCATTTTGCTTCCCATGCCGCCAACCTTGTCCAAGATACTAGCTGGACAGGGTCTGGGGCAAATAAGGATATTATTGCCGTGCCAGATAAGATCAGTATAATTGAAGTTTGCAGGTAGGCGTGCGAGTTTGACTAATTTATCTGAATCCTCGGGGCCGACGGTATAGCTTGTGAAGAATACAGTCTTCTTGATCCTGAGTTTCTTCTTGGAGGACTGCTTTGAGGCAATCTGATTATGTGAATTTATCATATGTTGAACTTCGGCAACTTCAACAACGGGATCTAAAGTCGTTGAGCAATCAGGCACTTGGATGACTTCTGCTGTAATCGGTCCTCTGGACGGGTATGCATTCTGCCGATTGTTGTAGTCGGTTAAAAACTCGCGGAATCCTTTAGTATGCTTCGGGCGATCCTCGTAAACCCTGATTTCGTCGGCTAGTTTGTACGTCTCCATCAATGAGGTGAGAAAGAGCTGTTTGAAGTGCATGGTGCTTTGGAAGCGCTGGTTCGTTGGGCTGACAGGTGGCTTCAGACCAACCATGTCAAACTCCAGGCCTTGGCTTGCGATCATTCGTTTGATCAAGCTGGAGAACTTCGGCTCAGATCGACCAGTCAACAGCACACAAAGAGCATCGGGTTGTTTGATACTGAGCTTGACAAGCTCAAGGATCTTTTCGTTCCACCAGCCTTCCCAACCGCGCGGTTCCTCCTTTTCCAAACCTTCGCCCGTTGCCGCGAGTATCCTGTTGTCGTGCCACCAGCCGCCGTTCACGAAGGTTTCTTGATTGGAGAGCAACCCAATCGTCTGGCCCTGCCATAGAGAGGGATTGGGAAGGGGGGTTTTGAACACTAGACATTGACGATCTCGCGTTAGGATATTTTCATTCGGTACATCGGGTGCAGAAGGAGGGTGGACAGGGCGCGCGGGGGAGATGCGTACATGTGTTGTCAAAATCGTAGACATGCAGGGCTTTGATTTTCTCGACAGCTAGTTCTCCAATCAGCTATTGTTCAGGCAACAGGTTGCGCGACGGTACACTCGTGGGGTCTGGTTACCTGGAAGTTGCTTGGACAAAATGGACCAGCGGCCGAGCGCAGTCACCGTGAACTGTGATGAATTGTTTGTCGTGCCATGGAGGGCACTGAAGGCTGAGGCCATGACGGCACTCGATGGAAAACTCAGTCGGCGAGAGCGGGGGGCGAGCATATAGGGAGCGACTATGTGGCCAAGAGAAGTCTATGATCCTACTACCTAGGTCTTCCCGTAGATGCGAGGATGGCGGATCGAGTCACCCTGCTTCTCGGTGCCTCTGTGGTTTGGGATGCAAGAGAGAAGGTTCAGGCAAGTGGCACCAAGAAATCATGACGCGCGACAGCTTCAGTGCTTCAGTGCTACAAGTGGGGCGGCAGTTGCACCTAGGCGATCAGCAGTAGGTAATGCGACCCTATCAGTCTGCTACGCCTCACTCCTGCTGCAGGGCTCCTTCCATTTTACTCTCATTGGATACCTCCCTGTGCTGACAATAACTTCAAATTCATCTCACTCTTTTGCACACAGAATAAACCACACCCTTATCCTACCTATGCGTCGGTGAGGGATCAGTGTCGCCACCTAAAGAACCAAATCGCCCGTTTGGCGAATGCAATGGCATCGTCGAGCGCCGTTCGCTTTATCGCCGCCTCCAAGAAGTCTCCGTTGGGCTCTTTACAGATTCACCTGCACGTGAAGCCTGGTGCGAGCAAGAATCGGGAAGGCATCCTTAGTGTTTCCGATTCCGCAGTCGACCTCTGCGTGGCTGCGCGAGCCCAGGATGGTGAGGCCAACAAAGCTGTTGTCAGCCTCCTTAGTGACGTGCTGGATGTCCCCAAGTCGAGACTTTCCTTAAGCCACGGCATGAAGTCCAGAGACAAAGTTGTGGTTCTTGGCGGAGTGTCCGGAGAAAATGGGGACGAATTTGCAGAAAATGTGCTGGCCCAGCTTCGAAAAGCAGTTGGTTGACTGGGTGCGAGGTGTATCACCATCAAGTATACTTATCTACAGCTTCTCACATCCATTTGATTCCACTTGGCTATATGACCTAGTGCTTGTTCTCTTTGGATAACGCTTAATGTGTAAAGGTATGTTATTATATCATTATATCCCTTCCTTCTCCCCTCTTTTAATCTACCAATTCATACTAACTGGTGGTGTTTGCTTAAGAAGACGCGGTATCTGCGTCTGCTGTTTAATTAAATCCGCGAGTTTGACTCGTATTTTGTAATGTGCTTACTGATAGGATAGGTACTACCAGTAGTACACTCACTCTTCAGCCTTTTTATCGTGTCTCCCAGCTCTCTACGCCGAGGACAACTTTTCTTCCTCAGGACCTTCTGTGATAGTAACTTCCTGTTCGGCCCCCGAGTTCTTTTCCAAACTTCTCTGTGCCGCCTGTGCCTCTCGTCTTGCCAGCTTCGCCAGGTATCTTGCCCTCCTCGCGTCCAATCTCTCTTGCTCCTCGCGCAACTGGCAAATCACGGGACTCTTTGATCGAATCTTGGCGCCATACTTCCAGAAGACAAACGGGATCGGGATCATCATAACCTCAAGCAGACCCAGCAATGTTCCAGCCCACTGTGGTGTCAAAGCTTGGTACATTCTCGCTCCAGCCAGAGGCAGGACTCCCCCGAATATACTCCTGACGACAGCATTCCCAGCAAGCGCACTAGCAGAATAAATGCCGTACGCTCCAGCAAGATAGTTTGCGCCATAAATGAAGGACAGTGTGTTGCCGAGACCGAAGGGAATTCCAAAGATGATGGGGATGACCCAGTGAATGGTTGTGGGGAGACAAGTCCACGCAAAGACTAGTTGACCGACGGCTGTGAAGATGGACCCGATTGCCATGACGAGCGCCGTAGCCTCTGGAGGTACCTTTCCAGTTTCCGGATCACGAGGCTGCGAGTTGATGAAACGTCGGATAAGAGGCTCAGTCAGAATAGCGATCATGGTGCCGATTCCAATGCCCGAGAAGGCAAGTCCAGAAATACCGGGAGTCCATCCTCTGTGCTGCGAGAACACGATGGGGTAGGCAACGAAGCAAAGATACAACACTCCGTATACAAGAGACAGCCTGAAATGTCAGCCACGGGGGCCAAGTCACACAGCGCACGAAGGAGAGACTACTTACCAAAAATTTAGGAACCAAAGGATAGGCTCTGTGAAGAATAAAATGATTGGCCGCTTGAGGTTGATCTTTGCGAGCTCGAAGTTGGAAACTCTCTGGTCAAATTGGCACCACCATCGCTCATCACCAGTCTCTTTTCGCAACCGGGCTGCTTTTCGTTGCAAGATCGTTGGAGGGTATGTCTCTTTGCATGTAGCCATGAGGCCGATTCCGACCCCGCCACCAATGAGGACGATCCAACCACTCCATCTCCATCCAAGGTACTGATAAACGAAGCCGCCGATGATTCCACCAGTGCTAGGCGCGTTCATTGGGGCGATACTCCACATGGACAGCACAAATGCAAGGTATTCCGGGTTGGCGATATCAACAACAGTACCAGGGCTATTGGCAATCATGACGGCACCAAAGAAAGCACTAGCAGAAGTCAGACTCGGGGACGAAGCTACTGGCGAGGAGGGAAAATCACTTACCAAAAGAAGCGGCTGACAATGATACTGGTCAAGTTTGTTGCCAGTCCGCTGGGAAGAATGAGCAGCGCCCAACATGAAAGACACACAAGGTATACCTTTTGACGGCCATACAACTCGCTGACGGGGGCCAGAAACAGGCTGCCAGCAGCCAGGCCCAGCAGGTATGTTGTCATACCCAGAGTTGCGATTGTGGTTGATGAGTCGAATTCCTCCACTAGACCGGGGATGGTCGACGCATAACTGGTACTATACAAGACCACAATCCACCCCGTGTAAGCCAAAGCGGCGATAATCCATGCTCGGTACAGTGTGGACCAATTCTTGGGGTTTTCTGGGTCGCCATCCTCAAAGACAACCTCAAAATCTGGGGGCCGGGAGGCGTTACTCGCCGTGCTGGCAGCAGTGCGGGTATGTGCGATGCATTCGGCCGCAAATTCTGGATCCGGCGTGAGAGCGTTCTCCAAATTTTGGTACGGATCTGTGCCGTCGAGACGATGTGTTGCCACACTGCGCAGGCTGTGATTTGTCCTGTTAGTCTGGATGGGTTCTAGACGAATAGAATCGCTCCCCGAACTAGACGATGATGAAGCGTCACTAGTACTAGTGCGCGGTATGGCCTTCTCGGCATCTTGGTTTATGTCCTTCTCCATTGCTCGATACACTATCCACCTTGTCTCAGACAGGGGAAGAGTTGGAGAGGAATTGTATGTGTGTGGGGTGAGTGGGCGGATCAGGATGAAAGGGGCCTAAAGGTGGGATGAATCATTGCAGGCAGGGTCATTGCTTTGCATGACACTGTTCTGTTTGACGTTGCCAAGCGTCGAAGTTGAGGAAGATCGAAGAAAGAAAAAAATGCTTGCTGGGAACAAATTCTGAAATGAGTGTGTCTGGGGAGGCAACGGGGGATTAGTTACTATTATCTCTGCATCTGTCCCTCCATGGGGGGGAACCCACACTCAGGCAAAGATGCAATCGACCCATTTAACCAAGTGATTGTCCGTTGCCGGCCTCGTCTTGAATTTTAAGTCGGATATTGCGCCGGGCATAATGGCCCCACAACCTACGGGCTTGGCTTTACGGCGTGAGGACTTTGGCGATGCAATCCATCTTTCTACAAGTTACCAGACTGGACTGGCTCTCCCGAACCGTTGGTCAGAGAACCGGTCACTGAATATCTCCTTATGACCGAACAAAAGCTGAAACATTCCTCTCGTCGCCATTTAGACGAGGGCCGAGGCATAGCTAAGAAATCTAGTCTATTGATCATCCCTCCGGAGATCGTCATCAGGCTCCTCCACTATGGCTACCCCATCCCGACGCCGGATGTGATCTTCCTTTACCTAGTCCAATCCCCAGTCACCAGGCCCAATCCTCAAGCACACACACACTCATGACGAACAAGCAGCCACAAAGGCTGCATCGGGCACGGGCCGCATATGTCTGTCTCCCCCAGACCGGTCTCTCAAGAGGGGAGATCGCCATGCCCGCCGCAACAGGTAATTCGCAGCGAAACGCAGCAGCGACATCGGCCCAAAACACATTTCTTGCGTGTTGACTTCAAGCCAAGGCCCGTGCCGGCTCCATTTTTCCTTCGGCGCCGGTGGTCATCGACGCCCTACGCGCCTGGTTATCTGATTGGCGGCTCCATGGCCGGGTTCATGTAAGTGTGACAGCGGTTCGACGTACGCATTGCATTACATGCAAAACGCACTCGCACGAACTGTATCCCCCGAGTCTGTCTGATTGGCGGAATAGGTCCGTCTAAGTTTGAACTTCGTTGGCATATAAAATGAGTCAAACTGTCCAGCCTGCCAGCTTTCCGAGGCCTGGGGAAGGGAGCTAGCCCCTTTCGTATTCGTTTCCGGCCGAAGGTCTGCAGATCTCACGCTGTTCCGCCCATCGAGGAAGCGGAGGAGAGGAGCAAACAGAACGGTGGTACGCCGGGGAGCCAGGGACTTGGTTGGTCAGTCACATTGCACGTCCGTGTCAAGCCACAACGCGTACGGACGCTTGCATTATGGTACGATAAGTCCATCACGTCGTATCCAATAGATGGCCTCACGTTGAAAGGATGCGAGGAAATTAACCTTCTGAGCCTACGACCTTTCTACGTCGCGTTCAGATGATTACCCGATTCTGACCAACATGCAATCAATCATCAAAACTCATTGCCAGGGGTATAAAAGGCTTCTCGCTGATGCCTATTACATTGACTCGTGGTACTATAAAGAAATAAACTCGTTCCCACAACCTCAAGAAATTCGTTTACATCTGGGTCTCGTCAAATCCGTAAAATCCAATAATCCAAAGGGTTCAGAGATGGTAAGCTTTGTCTCTCAGACAGAAAACCCCTTTCATTCGCCAAGGCCGTTCCTCCGTCTTCTCATCCATCCGTGATCCTGTGAAATGAAATACGAAAAGGGGGGTAAAAAAAAATAATAAGCCAAAGAGAAAAAAAAACATAAAAAGAAGAATAATAAAAAAAACCTATCGTAAAAATCTCAGGGGTATAATGAAGCAGACAAGGAAAGGTTAGTGAGCAGTGGTATCTCAGCAATGTCAAAAATGCGAAATTCGACGGCCCTTTCAACGCCCAAATATTTCCCCCAGTCCTAGTGTGTACCCCCACCATCAATTCCCCTCCCAAGCCTGGCGACAGGCCAGCCGAATATGCATGCCTTCCCTAGTCTATATTTCGAAAGACTCATCATGAGTAGAATTTCAGTATGTCCAAAATGTAGATGACGAGATAGAAAGTGAACAGAAAAGTAAATCAAGTGACAAAAAGAAAAGGGGTATCGTCTAGAAATAGAGGCGGAGTATGTATCCACTCGCCTCCTCAAATGTTGTTTCGGTCGGTGTCTCGTCGATGCTGTCAACGGCCATTTCCCATTCGCTCTTAATCGACTCGCTGATTGGATCAATCTCCAATGTCATGTCCTGGCCTTCTCGCAAGGCATGTATAACATCGTCGTCCATCTCGATATCAAGACCATCGCGAATGGTGTGGATGGTCTTACGAATTTTCGTTGGCTCCAAATTCCATTTCTCAGCAACGCAGCGGTTGAATTCTTGTAAATTCCGCTGCATGAGATAGACCGCTCGGTAGTATTGTTTTTGTAGGCCATTATTGTTATCGGGGCGAAGAATGTAGAAGCAAGCGACGGGCTTCGGTGTCCTGTCGGGGGGAGGACAGTATGTTGGGTCAACGCCTACGACTTCGATGTAGCCGCTCGTCTTTCCTTCATCGTCCGTCTTGTTGACTTGTGTTGGTTTGTCATTTGCCACTTTGAGAGGCGCATCTCCGCCCTGTATCACGTCAAAGTTCTGCCATTGTCCACCTTGTGCGGCGGTGGATTGTTGAGATGCTAGCGAGAGAGAGCTTGGGGAAGGTGAAACCATAGAGTCAGCAATAGAGCTTTGAGCGCTCCTTACCGGCCAAGTTGAGCTGTCGGGTTTAGATTGTGGTGACTGGTTCCCTGGGAGTGATACCGGGTGCGCATCGGGGTCATCAAGATCTTCGCCTCGGAGATATAGCACACTGACAGGCCTTGTGCTGGTAAACATGTCCGATAGAGTCTGCAGTTTGTAGTGAAGATCGTCTTCTAGTGTTGTACGACTCCCCCCTGCACCGCTTCCACCGTCCACAGAGCTCGCTGAAGACATGGACCAGGTTCTTTTGTGCTTCGTCGCCTTTCCGACTCGGGTGTTGTCGCTTATTTTGGCTTTGGCGCCGGATCGCTTTCTCTTGCCAACGTCCTTTAGCCCACTCTCGACTTGGTTGATTTGGTGCTTCACTTTGTCGATCGATTTCTTGACATGGGCCACATCATTGGACAGTTTTCGTTCGGCACCGTGATCGCGGAAAAGTTTGACCTTGCAGAAACATATTTCAGCAGTCGAGTCTTCGGGGCTATTGGGGCTTCGGTCGCCCGAGAGCAGCCTAGTTTTCGCGCATAGCCGTACCGGGATTCCCTTGACGCCCTTCGAGTGGCTGAAGTCAGTAGATAGGAAATTGAATCGCACGGCAATGTTGACCTCTGGGACGCCTTGGCTTCCAGGAGTCCAGATGACTGAGAATCCGTCGAAAGACGAGGTGTCTAGCTCAACTCTCGTTTTCTTCTCGTCTCCTTCGACAGGCTGCCCAGCTTCCACATATTCAACTGCCTGTAGCTTCCCCCCTCTTTGATGGGCTTCATTCTGGCCTCGTCCTTCCTTCCACAAGCCCCAGCAAACTGAAGGCTTTTGTCTCTGCTCTTCGTCTTCGAACGAGACCCTTACGAATGTGCGAAATCTGGTGCCTGGGCTCAAAGGCATGGTGGCCTGCGTGTCGATAATAGATAACGAGTATGCCTGACCCTTGTTGAGATACGTCACAGGAATTTCATCCGCGTGCTTAATCATGGCTGTAGGTGCATTCAGGGTCGAATGAAATCGGAATTTCTCTGCAAACGAGGGGATGATCTGGCTCATGGTAACACCAGGGAGTTGCGGGGATTGAAAATTTATCAATGCCGTTCCTGTTTGGAAGTTGGACCCGATTGAAGGCATACGATCCTCGGGTGGATTTGACGTAAGGGGCGAGCCGTCTTGTTCCATCGTCTCATAGCCGGTATCTTGATGGACAAACGTCGATGGTGCAAAGGTTGGCTGAGGTGGTGGAGGCGCCTGTACGAAAGGATTAAAATGATGTAGCTGGTGAGTTGGTAAGGGTTGGAAGCCCGCCATTTCAACAGGTCCTGCTGCCGAAGCTACACCTGACTGGATAGCATTCGCTGATGTCGGCATCGACAATGGCGTTCCCAGTCCATGCCCTGCTGTCAGCCCCATTGGCGTGTGTAAGTCACCTGCTTGGGGGTGGAAGAGGGTATTAGTGCCTCCTGGCGTGGGTGTGTAGTAGCCTGCAGGCGCATTGGCGAAGCTGTTGAAGTTGTATGAATTTGGATCCATAAGCGATGGCGTAAACCGCCAGGGCTCGTTTGTTGCTCGGGGAGTAGGGTCATGGTCCTGGAAGGGCTCAGCAGTCTCGAGGGCTTGAGGCTGGCTGTACAGACGGTTAGCTACGAACTAGACAAACTCGAGGATAGGACTTATCGCAATAGTGCGGAAGTCTCAGTCTTCGGCCGCCTCGCCGTCCTTGGCAGGCATGGTTCCCTGTCCAGCACGAGGGGAGACTGTGGGCAAGAAAACTAAGCCATGGGGCGAAATTGATAATTACCTTTCTTGAGGTGCAATCCCGATGCTGAGGGTGCTGTCGGGAATGCTGGTCTGTGCGATTGGTGGAGCTGGAGCTGTTGTACTCGTCGACGCAATTTCAGGAAACTGCTGTCGGAAGTTGGCCAGCAGATCGTCACCTGGTTTCTGTGAGCTCCGCCTGCGCCGTGGAAACCGTGTTAGCAACCAACCCACAGATGAGGAAGATCTGTGATGCTTCTTGAGGAGGGAAATGATTATACTGACCTTGAGCGAAACATGGTAGGACCGGTCGTCAGGGCCTGCCCGACGGACAGATGCGTCACTAAGCTTTGACCTCAATTTATGAAACAGCGGCTGACGTTTGAATGAATCTTTGTTTCCGCTTCCAGTGCTGCAAACTCAGCTGAGCATCAGGCGCCTGGGTAATTTGATAGACATGAGAGTTGGCAAGTGC